ACCAACATCCAAACCCAAACAACCTCCTCTGGAGGCACAGCATCCACCATCACCCAATCCCCAACCACCACCTCCGGAGGCTCAACATCCACCAACACTCAGTCCCCTACAACCACAACCACCCTAGGAAGCTCAACATCCACTAACACCCAGTCACCCACAGCCACTTCTGAAGCTTCAACATCCACCAACATCCAAACCCAAACAACCTCCTCTGGAGGCATAGCATCCACCATCACCCAATCCCCAGCCACCACCTCCGGAGGCTCAGCATCCACCAACACTCAGTCCCCTACAACCACATCTGCCTTAGGAAGCTCAGCATCCACGAACACCCAGTCACCTACTGCCACTTCTGAAGCTTCAACATCCACCAACATGCAAACTCAAACAACCTCCTCTGGAGGCATAACATCCACCATCACCCAGTCCCCAACCACCACCTCCGGAGGTTCAGCATCCACCAACACTCAGTCCCCTACAACCACAACCACCTTAGGAAACTCAGCCTCCACAAACACCCATTCACCTACTGCCACTTCTGAAGCTTCAACATCCACCAACATCCAAACCCAAACAACCTCCTCTGGAGGCATAGCATCCATCATCACCCAATCCCCAACCACCACCTCCGGAGGGTCATCAATCACCACACAGTCTGGCCCCAGCACAACAACATCTTCTATCACCACTTCTAATTCAATCAGTACTACTAATCCAGGAACCAACTTTGCCTCCTCTACAGTTAGTTCAACAGCCACAACCCAGTCAAGCACTACAATGACAGGCTCAACTTGGACCACCTCATCTTCCGCCATGTCTTCAGGCTCTGCTTCCATGACTTCAGTCATGTCCACCAGTCAGTCAGTCAATTCCACTGGTATGTTTTATTTCATCATATGATAAAATGCTGTGGTTAACTTCCAAGGCTTTGTTTTGCCATGCAAGAAAAAGAAAACTATTACAATTATTACATGTTATTTTTTTGGTCTTTTCCTGTCCAATCATGACATTCATCTTTTTGTGATAGGTGGCATATCTGTAACGAATGGAACCAATATGTCAAATGTTACTTCAATGAACATGGCAAGTCCACCCTATTAGCGAGAAATATATCATTGTGCATAGGTTCCCTTATCTCTCCTTGTCTTTCATCTGTTCTGCCTCTCATCATTATAATTTGCTTTTCACCTCTCTCAAACACAGATATACTGCCGTTCATTCATCTGTAATTACTCTGACTGCTACTCAATGTACACCAGTCAGAATGCCACTTTATGCTCTCCTGGTGACTATTGTCAGGTAGGGCGGCAAATGACACTGACAAACCCTCTCAAACCACCTAAACCGTTTATTGCATTGTCTTAAAAAAATCCTCACAAAATCTTTTGGTAATTTTTAGCTAAATGTATTACCGCCCATGTCTTAACTGGAATGTACATACAGCAAAAAATATGCAAGACATTCTGTGAAGTACTGTGTTAGTAATTCATTAAAACATCAGAGTATTCAAAAGATGAAGTGGTATCTGTTAGTAACTATAAAAAGTGAAATCTTTGTAAAACTTCTCTTACAATCTTTTACATTCATGATGGTAGTAATTTGTCAAATGAATGAAAGGCAAAGGCAACTAAACATGGTCTTCTAATTCTTCACTGTATCAGCTGTTAAAGCAGGTGGACATGTGCTACACTGTTGGCTGCAGCGCCTCTTGTGCTGAAAGCTGCGTCAACACCTCTCAGACCAACTGCTCTGTGAACTGCTGTAATTTTACTGGCTGCCTCAATGACAGTTTTGCATCCATGATGATAACAACTACAGGTTAAGAGACACATCTTTGACATCTTTAGTCTCCTCAGTTAATCATTCTCATGAATAATTTATGTATTATATTATCCTTAGAAATGTTTACATTTTAATACATCTTAAATTCATGTTAAGTGGTGTGTATTTTGCTTTTTTTTAAATCATGGTTTGCTCTTTCCCCACCTTATTTTAACAGTCGCAACCACAACAACACAAACAACCACACCAGTCCCTACAACTACCACCAGTCCACCAACAACTGCAAACAATGTAAGTACAAAAGAGTGGATGTATATGTGGGATAAAGGCTATTGTGTATATTACGAAATTGAGATGACTGTTTGTCTTCATGCTCACGTTGTCTTAGACAGATAGCCACAAATTGTCTTTCTGCCTGACTGTTGACAGATATCAGTGTGGCATGCGTTTATCTTAATTGCTTGCCAACAATTTCATTTTTCTGTGTAGTGCTGCACAAGATGACAGTCTGTCCAGCAGCGTAAGCTAGACCTGGTGTTGGATCAGTATCGTTTCATGTTCTGTGTTGCTTTCACAGGGAAACAAATGCCATAATGGTACCTGTGCTGGCGAAGAATGCTACAAGAATTTTAAAAACGCAGCACTCCAAACATGCTCTGCCTCGCAGCCGCATTGTCAGGTGAGATTAATTCAAATTGAACAACTTAAACACAAATGACATCTATAACATAACAATGTTGATGTCGTTCTAGCAACATGAATAATTTAATAGTCATTAAAATGTTTAATCCTCAGTCCGGGCTTATTTTGATTTTACAGAGTTTATATGTTTTTTTATTTGTCTTTGTTTAGCACCTTTTAAGCTGTTCATACCCCATATGCACGATGTTCGCTTGCCAGCAAAAACTCAGCTTTAAGTTGGAGTTATCATTTAAAGTAAACATGGAGAGGCTATATAGAAAACCCAGGAGCAATAAAGCACTGATAAATTATGTATACATGTACATAATGATAATACAGCATAATGCAGTATATTAGTTTATTTATCAAGTGGTGTTTTTCTTTGTTTCTTATGTGTTTGTCGCACTCTCATTTAAAATTTGCAATAAAAGTGATGTATGCATTGTGTAACTTTATATATAATGTTATGCACTAGAATAAAGACTAAAACTACAATTGTATAATTAAACATTATTAATAACATTTTGCTCAGCACTTGAAACAGGCTCACCGCACAATATCTACATGATAAAGTTACATTATTTATAGGCTTCATAGTATTTTAAACAAGATTTTAACATCCCAGCCTCATTAGTCCCCTTCACTGATACGTTTTTCCACTTAAAACCGTTTGCAGGTCCTGCTCTGTTCTTACTCACACACTTCTGTCTTTGCAGCTGAAAAAGGAAACCATAGATTCCACCCAAAAGTGGAAAGCAGGTTGCACCAACTGCACTGGCTACACCGCATGCAAGGCGTCTACAAAACCTCCGTGTAACCTGGAGTGCTGCAACGCCACCATGACGTCCTGCCTATGGTTGAATGGCACGCGGAATGTTCCCTCTTCCGCCACAAGAGGACCTTATTTTCACACAGAGTTGATTGCTTCCTTACTTTGCCTGCTTGCAATCAGTATGATGCTGTGAGTGATGCAAGTATGGCCTGTTCAGCTATCAGTCATTAGGTAACCACAGCTTTGTGCAGCTCCCAGTCCCTTCATTAAAAAAAAAAAAAACACTTAGCAGTGCAGAGGTTAATGCTACTTCATTTCCACTCAAGCATCTCGCTGATATGTGATTGTTTAAAGTGCGTATGGAAATCTGAAGAGCATCAGATGTAAAGTTGGTTTCTTGTTTTCTTAAACTTCCCAGTTACATTTATTTCTGGTTCAAGACCAATGAAAAATGGCTTTGAACAGTATTTTAAAATGGACATCTATATATAAATATCACTTTAAGGAATACAGAAAATCATGCCAGCAGCAACTCGGTCCTCATGTCATTTCAAATTTACTTCAAACTTCCTTTATAACTAATACATTGATCTATAAAAATAAAATTACAGTTACATTTTAAGAAATAACTCTAAATCGTGAAATACCCTCTAGTTTGTTTTAGCAATGACCTTGCCCATTTATTGTAAAGAAAGCCAAAAATGGTTTGTTTTTTTGTTGTTGTTTTTATAGTTTTTTTAAAATCTGTGTTGCCCACTTTAAACTGACTTTCAGCTGATCTTAATTGTAGGTGGGTGAGTGAGCTTAAACACGGCATTTCTGTTGGGTATAAATATTTTATCATGTCACTGTGAGAGTAATGCAGCTATACCTCTATATGCACTTTATAAAAGATAAATACTAAGATGATACAGGGAGTTTTAAAGGTTCTTGTTTTTTTAAGCATTTCTGTAGATGTGACCTTAATGAAACGTGCAATTAAGTACTTTTCACTTCTTTTCGTCCAATACTTTTGTGACTAGTGAGTTGGATGTCTATACTATGTGGTTTACAAAATATATTTTATGGTATAATGGTGTCGAGTAAATTTGAAATGAAAATCAAAAAATTGTGTCAATTTATTCTAGTTTTGTGTGCTGTACAAAATAAGATGTTTGCGCCTTAAAATAAATAAATCTAATCTATATGTTTGATGGGTCTCAACTTGATTAAGAAGTATTAAGAAGGTATCTTTGCCATAGAGGAGGTGGAAACTGAGGATATCTTTTGGGGCTCGTAGTTGTAAAGGCCCCACAGTGACTCCAGTAGGATTATTTAATATACAGTTGTTTGGTTTTGTGTAGCCCCACATTCCTTTAACCAAACTTAATTAAGAGAATACAAGTTTCTGCACTTTTTTCTGCAGTTTTTAATTACTTTGCTTTCTATTGTATTGTAACCTAAACAGGGGCAGATCTAGAGAAGTGGCGAAGGGGTATGTGGGTGTGTGTATATACAGTATATATTCAACTTAATCCTCATTAGGGTTGCAGCGCGGGATTGGGTGAAGACAGGGGACACAATGCTAGATATGTTAAAAATGTTTCTGAAATTTAGCAGCAAATTAGATTGAGACTAGACAGCTAGTCTCTTTTATGCACTGTTTTGGAAAATATATGTATTTGTGTGATCTATGCATATGTTAGACCTGCCACAATGATGACATTATCAACACATCTTGAACAGAGTCAGAGTCAAGATAACAGTTAGTTTTATTTATTGTTTTAGGTTTGTGGTTTGATGTTCTTTTTTGGGGGGACATTCTTACATTTTAATTCACACTATAATTCCAATATCTGGATATTCTTAAGAGTTAAGGGCCTACTTATGATTTTAAAATTAAAAGATGAACTACATCAGATAATATATTGTCTAAAAAAGTAATTATTGTGACAGGTTTACTTTATACTCAGGCGTATAATACTAAAGCAGTATTCATACCATGCAGACCAGCCGGACAAGAGATCTGACAGCATTGGGCCTCTCACTTCCCTTTCACTGTCCGAGCTCTGCAGCCTTTCATTTCTTTCTCCTTCCTCTCCCTCCTCCATCTCCTCTCTATGATGTTCTTCCTCCTGCTTTTCCTCCTCCTCTCTGTAATGCTTTCTCAGTATAACTGTGGCTGAGTTCTGAGGTTCAGTGTGATGCTCATGTCATGGTGATCAGAGCTCAGTAACTTCACTGTTTCTGAAAGAGAAGGAATCATTTCAACATGTGTTTGTCTCAGTGAAATGAACAGATGCTGTTAAAAACCAGAGAACAGAGACATGAGCTGAGAGATTAACACTGATCACAGCAGCTTGGTTTTGTTTCTGCTGTTCATTGCTGTCTGCCATGAGACGGCAGCAGCTAACAGACTGTAACAACGTTATATATACTGTTATGATTGATCAGATGTAACCTACAGGAAACGAGTCACAGACAACAGGTAACTCATTTATGACACTGACAAACCTGCTGTAGCATCAGCGTTAACCAGTCTGGAAACGTGACCTGAGCTGTACAGAACAACTTTTAAACACGATGTTAGATCGTGTTTTACCATCAGAGGCTCCAGTCTGATGTGAACGTACAGTAACGTCAGCTACAGTAACGCAGCTCGCTGTTTTAATTTGTAATTTGGACAGAAAACAACCACCTACTGAGACCACGTTAACACTCACCTGTAGAGTTTAGCTCCACTAAGCAGCAGCAGCGCCGGCAAACACAGCTGATGCCGGGAAATGTGGGCGGGGCAGAGAGTCCTCGGCTCTCAGTGCGTCTGACCAATCGCTGCTCTCCGGCTCGGCTCGGCTCGACTCGGGTCGACTCGACTCGACTCGGCTCCCCCGAAGTAGCAGCAACCAACGGGTGACGTCACGGTGTCCATCTCTTACATACAGTCTATGGTAGAATGTGACGTCATAGATCAAAGACTCCTCAAAGTGTATATACCCCACTGAACAGCTAATACTCACATAGCAGCTAGCAGCGACCAGCTAAATCAGCTTCAACAAATTAGCAAACACCAAACTTCTTCCAGGACTTAAGTGTTCTCGAGGACAACTGCCTGCAACTACAGAAGTCTTTACACTTTCTACAAGGCTTCTGTTGAACTATACCTGGTACCATGGAAAACAGGTACAATCCCAGGCACAGAGGAGGGATGGTCGCCCCTCCCCACCGCGGGCCTAACCAGCACTACCCCAGACCCGCCGGCCCGCACTACCCCAGACCTGCTGGCCAGCACCACCACAGACCCGCTGGCCCCCAAGTCTTCTATGCTGTCTCTCAGGAAGAAGCCCACCACCTGAAACAGCAGAACTACCACCTGAACCTTCGCATTCAGGAGCTCACCGCTGAAAACGAGCAGCACTCGCTCAAGATGGTGAGCGCCAAAGCGAGGATCGGCCAGCTGCAGGAGCTCCTGCGGGAAGCAAAGAAGGAGCTAGAGGACGAACGCCAGCAGAATGAGGCGAGAGTCTCCGTCCTCCAAAAGCAGCTGGAAGACAACATGCAGCTGCAGGGGCAGACGAAAGCCCTCGACAAGGTAGGAGAGGAGGGGCAGAAGGACGAAAAACAGCTCGAACAGAAGGACAAAGAGCTGCAAGAGCTGAAGATGGTTCTGGAGGAGCAGCTAGAGGAAGTCCTTCTAGACCAACAAGTGCTCGAGCAGAAGGACAAAAGCCTGCAAAAAGAGGTCCTTCTTGAAAAGGAGACAAAAGACTCAGAGAAAGTGGAGATGGAGGAGTACAAGAATCTCGAGCAACAAAAAAATCAGGTGGAGGAGGAGAATAAAAGACTCCAGGAAAATAATCAAAAACTGGAGGAAGAAAAGAATCAGATAGAGGAGGAGAATGAAAGACTCCAGGAAAAGAATCAAGAACTGGAGGAAGAAAAGAATCAGATGGAGGAGGAGAATCAAGAGCTCCAGGGAAAGAATCAAGAACTGGAGCTGGAAAAGATTCAGATGGAGGAGGAGAATCAAGAGCTCCAGGGAAAGAATCAAGAACTGGAGCTGGAAAAGATTCAGATGGAGGAGGAGAATCAAGAGCTCCAGCTGAAGAATCAAGAACTGGAGATAGAAAAGAATCAGCTGGAGGTGAGCAATATGACCCTCCTCTACGAGACTAAAGACCTGAAGGAGCTCGTAGATCTCTTTGTGGAGAACAAAAAGCTGATGGAGGAGAGAGCACAGCTGGACGACAGAAACAAAGAGCTGCAGGAAGACAAGACCGAACTGCAGCATGCGTTTCAAGACCTGGGGGAGAAAAAGAAAACAAAGAAAAAGGCGGGCTGTTTTAGGTGGTTGTTCAGAAAGTAGTGACCCGGAGCTTTCTCTGAGTCACCCTTTCTCACCCTTCAACTCCACCCTTCTCTCCCTCCTTCGACTCCCCCTCAATAATCAACTGTCTGCCTTTGCCTCCACCATCCATCCATCCATCCATCGCCTCCACCATCCATCCATCCATCCATCCATCCATCCATCCATCCATCCTCCATCTCCACCTCTCCATCCTCCAAAGAAACCTTTCCTCCTTCCCTCGTCCTCCCCCGATGTCCTCTCTACCTCACCCCCCTCCTCTTTCTGCCCCCCTCTCTCCCCCCCCCTCCTCCTTCTACCCCTTCTCTCTTCCCCCCTCCTCTTTCTACCCCCTTCTCTCACCCCATCTTCTCTCCCCCCACTTTCTCTCTATCTACCCTCTCTATTAAACCCCAATCATTAAAAAAAAAAAATCTAAAAATATATTTTTTTAAAAATCTAAGAAAATAAATTATAAAAATAAGTCAAATCAAATGAATCAATTAATCCCCCCCCCAAAAAAAAAAAATCAAAAAAAAAAATCAAAAAAAAAAAATCAGTAACTCTGCCAGAGTGTCTCTTTGGGTCACTCTGCCGGTCCCAAGCCCGGATGAAGGAGGAGGGCTGATCTGAAGCAATTCCACTATTCCACCTATTTCAATATCCATCCATCCATCCATCCATCTTCTCCCGCTTATCCGGAGTCGGGTCGCAGAGGCAGCAGCCTTAGCCGCCCAGACTTCCCAATCCACACACACCTCCTCCAGCTCTTCTGGGGGGGACCCCTAGGCGTTCCCAGGCCAGTTGGGAGACATAATCCCTCCAGCGTGTCCTGGGTCTTCCCCGAGGTCTCCTCCCGGTGGGACGTGCCCGGAACACCTCCCCAGGGAGGCGTCCAGGAGGCATCCAGGAAAGATGCCCGAGCCACCTCAACTGGCTCCTTTCGACATGGAGGAGCAGCGGCTCTACTCCGAGCTCCTCCCATGTGACTGAGCTCCTCACCCTATCTCTAAGGGAGCGCCCAGCCACCCTGCGGAGGAAACTCATTTCCATCCGCCCCTCACTCGTGAACAAGACCCCGAGATACTTGAACTCCTCCACTTGAGGCAAGGACTCTCCACCGACCGGGAGAGGGCAAGCCACTTTTTTCCGGTCGAGAACCATGGCCTCGGATTTGGAGGTGCTGATCATCATCCCGCTCACCCCACACTCGGCTGCAAACCGTCCCAGTGCACGCTGAAGGTCCTGGTTTGATGAAGCCAACAGAACAACATCATCTGCAAACAGCAGAGATGAAATTATTGCTATTTCAATAGCAAAATAAAATAATTTCAAAAAAGAATCAACAGAAGAAAGTTCATTTGTAGTTTTAAGCATATTTAGGGTGTTTTTAACTCACTTTTTGTCTGTCCCATGACATTAGTTCTGTCTCCTACAGCGTCCATTCCAGTCACACGTAAATGGACAGTTATGCAAATGTGAAGTTATGCAAATTATGCAGTGGCAGCACTCAATACACCGCTAAAAACATATAGCTTTTTTTCACTGTGTGTGTTTTTTAAAAAAATATTCTCAGCAATTCAGTGTTGAAAAAAAATCTGTAAAAAAAAAGAAAAGAAAAAAGACAAAAAGAAAGAAAATAAAACTGCAAGCGGCATTGGACGGGTCCTTGTTTCTTGCGGCAGTGTGACTGAGACAGTCGGTGTGTATATGTATGTAATGTGGCTCGTACTGTGATGAAACGTGTGAATTTTGAGCATTTGCAGGCTATTTACACTTCACTTCCTGTTTCTAGTAGGTGACGCTGTGACTGAGGGTCATTATCATTGTGTGGCTGTGATGAGTACCAGACTGTGATGGAACGTGCAAAGTTGGAGCCAAATCCGACCATGTTTAGGCTATTTACACTTCACTTCCTGTTTCATGGTGATGTGTGTGGTCGTGGCCACACCCCCAAGTGGTGTTGTGAGTGACAGTCGTCTTATGGCTGTGATGGGAGTTGGAGTGTGATGCAACGTGTGAAGTTTGAGAGCAATTGGACCGTGTTTCGGCTATTTTCTGATGTGTGTGCCAAGTTTTGTGCATGTGCGAGTACGTTTAGGACCTCAAAAACGCATCTCTTTGTCACGAATAATAATAATAAGAACCCGAGCAGTTCCAATCAGGTCTTCCCACCCTTTTGGGTGCTCGGACCCTAACAAGGGTTTCAATAGGGTTCTTACACCGGCGTGCTCGGACCCTAATAAAAAAGCAGTGTTTAGTTAACACTCCCATAGTCACGTTTCAGATGTGAACTTTCACCAAATAATCATTTTCCCTCCAATTTTCCTTATTTCTTAACCCAATAACCTTTACACAACTGTTCCTTTTCATGTTGAGACCCATTAGAGGGGCCCTCCAAAGGGTACTAACTGGCCATTGCAGTTAAAACTACTTCAATCTAGACCAGGTACCATATTGAATAGTTACAAGTGACTAATGCATAAGTGTAAATATCGAATGACAGCACATGTGATAACATTTATCAGTAACAGATTACATTTACATTGTTGTACTGACATTTTTATTTAGGTAAAGGGTGTCAGTACTTTCAACCACTGTTATCTGAAATGCAAGCGCTGATCTTACACCACAGTCAGGACGAGTTTTAGGCCTTTACGATTGCAGAAAACTTGATATTCTCTCTTTTTTCTTAAACACACATTTCTCCTTGCATGACAATTGAACTCATGATATAAGAGCCAATCATGTTGCAAGAACCGGCAGTTAAGAATTGCTAAATGTTTGAGGTAATTTGGCAACGCCATCACAATCACATAGAAAAAGAAGCCTGTTTATTAATGTAATGGCATTGTGTCACGGTCATTTATGGGTTTTTTTTTATTACAATTGGAAAATACAGACAGGTGACAAGTAGTAAAGGAAAAACCAACATAAAGTGTTTCACTAAGGTTTGGGCCACCACATGACACCAATACATTCAGAGTGCCTTAGCATTGATTCTCCAAGTCTCTGGAACAGAGGGACGAAGCACTAATCAAATCAAATCAAGCTTTATTGATATGGCACTTTTCATACATATAGCAAAGCAAAGTGCTTTACAGCATTAAAAACATTGTCAAAGAAAGAAAAAAAGAAAAAGGCAAGAAAACCCGTCCCCCCCACCCTCCATGTATATACATACACATATGGCTACGCACACAAACGCAAACATACACACACTCACACACACACACTGAAGTGGGGAGCCCCCCAACCAGCCGGGCTGAAGGGACCCGCAGACAGCAGACCGCACACATCCCCCCCAGTGTGGAGGAGCCCCTCTACGGAAACACTGGAGTTAAAAGCTAAAAACTGTAAAATATAAAAGGCCCTATGTAAGATAAAATGAAAATTAAAAGAGTAAAATACATATGATAATAAATAAATAAATGATAAGAACGTAAAGAATTTAAAAAATCTGTTAAAAGCCTGATTAAAAAGGTGCGTCTTTAACCTTCTTTTAAAAATATTGACAGTCTCTGCAGTCCTGAGGCTCTCCGGCAGGCTGTTCCACAGGTCCGGGCCCGAGTGGCTAAATGCCGCCTCACCGTGGGTTCTGGTTCTGGCTACTGGTATGGATAAAAGGCAGCTGCCGGAGGACCTCAGGATCTGCGAGGGTTGATATGGTAAAAGCAGAGCAGATAAATAAGAGGACACAAGGCCATTAAGGCTTTTAAAAACTAGTAAAAGATGGCCCTTCATTTGGTGTTCTGATGACGGGGGTGTGGAGCTGCTGTGTTTCAGTTTGGCATTGGATTTCAAAGGCCATTTTACTTCTTTTTCATACTGATCCAACCGTTGAGTGACCCCTATACATGAGGTCATTGTCATCCTGGAGGAGACCACCACCAGCAGAAATCATTCTGGGATGAAGGTGATCGTTGTGTTCATTTACAGTGCATCCAACGGGACAAGCAAACCCAAAACGAGCCGGCATAAAGTCGCCTCACAACATAACAGAGCCACAGGATCCCTAAGGGTCACGCGTTTATGTTTTTCCTCCCAAATGCCACCCATCTGTTTATTATTATGATCAGATCTACATCTTCCCAAACATCAATTTCAGATTCTGAATCCAAAAACATGTTCTTCATGAGGATACCCAAACATCATCAAAGGTGGAATAAAATATCTCAATATGATGTCAGTCTGTTGATTGTAGGCCAGTATAAAAAAATAAAAAATAACAATAAATCACTACTAAGCAACAAAAGGCTGAATACTGAATTATAGACGAGTTCCCCTTTAAAAAAAAAAAAAAAAAAAAAGATCACTTTGGGTTTATTTACCAAACAGTGCGTCAAAACTTCCTCGAAAGCGTTGCTACAACTTTGTAGGAGAAGGGAGAGGGATCTATTGCAGGACATAATCAGCTTAGGGTCACCCTCTGAGGCCTAATCCGAACTAAACCGAGCTGATGACAGCCCAGTTGTGACGTCACCATGGGTGCTCTCAGCCATCCTGGATCAGTGCGTGGCACACTGGGTCGGGCTGGGCCAGCGGCGGAGGGAAAAAAAGCGCAAACATCTGGCTCGAAAAAGGGAATAATGTCGGATTACGCGGATCCCCTGCACTTCCTCTCGTCCTGCTGCACACTCTGCTTCCCCTTCAGAGAGACATAACCCCCCTAAAGTATTTAGTTTGAGCAACGTGGTGCCGAAGTTGTCACTCAAGGGTTTCCCAGAATGGATCAGTCCGTCGCGATTCAAGAAACTTTGGAAGAGGACGACAGCTGCGTCATGGTATCCTTCGCGTGCGTTGGTTTGTGGATGATCAGAAACCAAGGATTACTTCTAAACTTTAAAAAATAAATAAATAAAAAGTTTGCTGACACGACAGCTTTTCAAGTCTGCTGAGGAACATCAGAGCCAAGAAGTGAGGCCTGTAAGATCGGACGTGATTGACATCTGTCTGGATAAAAAAAAAACACTTAAATTAGACTTTGATTACAATTCAGGAAACGTATTTATGTTGTGTGTAGTTTTTAGTAAAAGAACAGGTTTGGTCAGTTGTGACTCTGCATGGCTATACTTAGTTCTGTAGAAAGAGCTTTTATCCACAAGATGGCAGCTTTGCTTCACCAACACAGCCAGTGACAGGAAATATGTTGAGTGACAGGAGGTGAAATATACAGCAAAAAGTTCA